GGTGATAGGAGAAGGTGCCCGTTTCACGAATTTTTCTTTTGGTCAAGAGGTTGAGGACCTCCATGACCAGGGTAAAGAGATAAGGGGAAAGAGGATCGCCCTGCCTAAGGCCACGGCCACCCTTGAAGTAGCCATGGAGGTTTCCATTAATACTGACCGAGTAAGAGGCCGTGGAAACACATGACATAATCCATTTAATCATGGTAAGGGGAAAACCATAGCCAAAGAGGGCAGGGCGAAGGAAATGCCAATCAACGGTATCATAAGCCTTTTGGATATCAACTTTAAAGGCACAGCGGGGAGGGCCCCGATGCTTATGATAGCCGCGCATGAGCTCCTGAACAAGAAGAACATTATCAGTAATGAGCCGACCCGGGATAAAAGCAGACTGGTTGAGGTCAACCAGAGAGGARAGGTGATTCTTTATACGATCAGCTATGATCTTGCTAATGATTTTATAAATGACATTACAGCAAGCGATAGGCCGAAAATCAGAGACACGAGACGGAGCATCCGTCTTAGGAATAAGGGCCAGGATAGTGCTATTAATAGACTTTAAGATCTCACCATTCCTGAAAAATTCACGAACGGCGGAGCACACATCCCTACCAACAATACTCCAAGCGGCTTYGAAAAATTTGGAGGTGAAACCGTCAGGCCCCGGAGCTTTATCATCTCCCATCTGGAAAAGGGCCTGCTTGATCTCGGTGTCAGTAACAGGAGCAAGCATCATGGCGGCTTGACTGGCATTAAGCTTTTTGGAGAAGAGGAAGGCAGGGTTAWGAATAGGAAGGGAGGGATGAGCAGTACCAAGGAAGTTTTCAAAATGAGAGACAAAGAGGTTGGGGACCTCATCATTAGAGACCCAGAGACCGTCAGCATTTTGAATGGTATCGATACGATTCTTGCTGATACGACTCTTGACAGACTTATGAAAGAAAGAAGAATTTTGGTCTCCCTCACGGAGCCAATTGATCTTGGCTTTTTGCTTCAGGAACCGCTCCTCATCGAGGCAGGCACTATTGTAGGCAGATAAGTACCCACAGTGCTCCTCTCGGAGGGCCCCATTTTCAGGATCCCTATCCAGCGCAATCTGGACCCTGTCAAGCTCAAGCCGTAACTTAGCAACTTTAGAAWGAAGATTACCCTGATCACTAAGCATCTTACGGAGGGGCCCTTTGAGATTTTTAAGATTTTGAGAAATCTTATACATCTCACGACCGACAAGATCAGGGTGCCAATGGGAAGAAACAACATTCAGAAAAGGCTCTTTATATGTTAGAAGATTGGGGAACTTGAAGGGTTTGGGTTTACGAGGAGAGCTAGACGGAAGAGTAAGAACCGCCGGGCTATGATCCGAAGACCGATAGGGAAGGAAGACAACCGAAGCAGAAGGGAACCGGGCAAGGGAATGAGAATTGCCCAAAACACGGTCAATCTTTTTAAGAAGACCTCCCGTACCAATGGGGTTTTTAGTCCAAGTAAAGAACAGACCCTTGTAATTGACAACCTCCACCTCAAGATGTCGGACACACTGACGAAAATCATCCATACCCCGATTCGGGCCCGAGATGCCAGAAGAGCTGTCCTTAGGGTCAAGGGCAACATTGAAAACTCCCATGCATAACCATGGGGTGTCCTTCACAACATTTTTGAAGGCAACTATATAAGAAAAAGGGTTTTTGAAGGCAAAAACATTCTGCCATTTTTGGAAACGAAGCAGTAAGAGAGAAAAGTGTTCATGTGTTGATTCATGCTAAATTTGGAAACTGGGAATTGGATCAAACGTGAAAGTAGTTTTAAATTGTTTTCATCTTCAAATCATATTATTCGCATAAGGTGAGTTTTACTACAAATCAACTTTGAATTTGTTTACGAATACCGGTTTTCCATGGTTTAAAATATGTTGGTGTTTACACTTGAATGTATATGTATGTTCTTATAGGAATGCATGGCCTGATAAGGCTTGTTATCGGACACAGTGTTGTCCGATAATGATCCTTTATAAGTCATGCATTGACCGGTGTAAGAGATTGAGTATTTTACTCATCATCCGATGAGGACTTTATCAGAGACAATGTAGTCCGGTGAAGGCCATTATCGGAAACAATGTTGTCCGGTGAAGGCCATTATCGGACAAAGAGATATCCGGATTAGTTATTTTATCGCCCAAAGTTTGGGTTTATCGTTCATGCCTTGTCCGGTGTTAATGCTCATTGGACAAAGCCTTGACCGGTTTCAATCTTTATATTTCAAGTGTTGACCGGTGAGATAGTTAACCGGGCAGGAGTGTTGACTAGTGATATAGTTAATCGGACAGAGTGTTGGCTGGTGAGATTGGTTACCGAACATAGTGTTGTCGGATGAGAGTGTATCCGGACATAGCTTACATGAGGGGTAATTTGGTCTTTTTAGTCATCTTCTTTATTCTCACCCCTATCTCCAAGAACATTGATGACAACCACCATCACCAGCGGCAATTGCCACCGCCATCAGCAACCCACCAATACCACAATTCAAAAAGTTTAAATCAAGCAAATCCTATCACAGAGACACAAAATAATATTTCAAGAGCAAATCCAACTGATTTCTCAAAGTTAGGGTTGTCCCAATCTTTTTGAAGATCCTGTTACAACTTACACCTGTATTAAAACTACAGATCGTCTGAAATAATAAACAAAACAAGATATAAAATTTCACATCGTATTAAAGATCTGTATAAATTAAAACAATATCTACTATTTGACAATTTTACAACTCGATTAGACATCGGGTTGCTTTGGGTTGGGTTATTTCACGTTGGATTGGGTTGGGTTGATCAGGTTGGTCGGGTTTTTGAGCACCCCTAATACGAGGGGCACATAACCTAGTTAATGGATCCTAGACTACCCTACCTAATGGGAGGGACTTATTTAGGCTTAAAATATGAATTTTGGACCAAAAGTGTATCTTACAAGTTCGAGGGACAAAAACCAAAAAATTAGTCGCTTGGGTTGTTTGTTACATAAACCAAAATTGGCGGTTTATTTTTTTTTTCCCAGACTAAGTGGTTTGATAGCAAATGACCAAACTGGTCAAATCGGACCACAAAAAGATGATCTGGTCTGACCATTTAGGCGATTTGAACCTCTTATATATCAAAATAAAATTTCTATCAGTATAACATTATTTAAAAAATAGGATATCGAATTATAAAAGATACATCTGTATCTCTAACTAAAAAACATTGATCAAGTTGAAAAGAGTTTAACAAATCCACTAACATTGTTGGAAATATTGGACAAATATTGACCAACTCGATGAGATTTTGGATTTGATTTTTGACGAAATTCGGAATTTTTTCAATTTAGATGATATAGTCAATTGAGAAATGAAAACAAAAACTTGGACTAACTTTTTTCAATGTGCCATAAAGTGGAGTCTATAACATGTAGGGCTGTAAACGAACCGAACGTTCAGCGAACCGTTCGTGAACCGTTCGGCGGGAAGTTCGTTTATTTAATAAA